ACGTCATCACCACTCTTCACGTTTCAGTTTTTTACCCTTTTTTAGTGGATTTCAAGTTCAAACCTTACCGTCCATTAAAATTTGGTCTCACTATTCAATCTTTTTGTGTATATATATAGAGAGTCTAATTCCTTGCCATATTCCAGTGATAGGGGAGTAGGCTTTGAGTTTTCTCTCTCCTCTTTATTTCATATCATTCTTTTTATCTTCTTATCTGCAATCTAGTGATTTTGGACAAAGAAATAAGAAATGGGTTCATATAGAAATACCAGAAATAGAGTTCTGCTATGCCTTTTTCTTCTTGTTTTTCTTGAAGTGATTAGCCCATCTGTTTCATCTAAGGTATTGCTTCCTTTACCTAACAGTAAGATATACATGTGTGTGAATGGATGATGATGTGTTTTATGTAAAAATATGACGTCTGGTTGAAATGTCTTTTGTTCCAGTTGTACGTGGTGTATATGGGTGGCAAAGGTAGTGATGATCCAGATGAGATTTCGAGGGCAAACCACCAAATTCTCACTGCTATCCATAAGGGAAGGTCTCTTTCTTGATCCTTATTCAACTGTGTCATTCTTTCTCAAAAGGGTTCATTTTATTTTTCTTCCGTTTTTGCTTTTACTTCTTGTCAATTAATGATTTGCTATAAATGCGCAGTGATGAAGAAGCCAGGGCTTCTCATGTTTACAGTTATAGACATGGTTTCAGAGGATTTGCAGCCAAGTTGTCTGAAGAACAAGCCTCTGAAGTGGCTAGTAAGTCCCTCCCTTTTGCTAATAAATGCAACTTGTACTTCACCCATGTTTAGAAATTGAATGATTCCTGGATTCTGTATTCATAGAAGAAAAATAAGATTACTCTAAATATATAAGGATAATAATCATACTATGCTTGGATAAATTCAAACCAGAAATGCCAGGAGTGATATCAGTTTTTCCCAACAAAAGGAGGACACTCCACACTACTCATTCATGGGATTTCGTGGGCTTAATTGGTGAAGAAACTATGGAAATCCCAGGTTATTCCACCAAGAATCAAGTTAATGTCATTATTGGTTTCATTGATACAGGTGATTTCTTTGAAACCTTCTCTACTTTGTTACTTTTTATTATTAGTTCAGCGAAAGGTCATGTCATAATTGAACTATTAACGAAGTATCATTTGATGGCTGATACATCTAGCTCTTGACATTGATTGCAAGTGGTTAAGGAAAAATTGAATTATTGAAGACATTCCTTTACTTCTCTGTTTCTCTTTGTTGTAAACATTCCGTAGTAGGGTGAATCTTACGAGTCCATATAATCAGCCCTTCTTTTAAAATTTTTTGTTCTCTTTTATGGCTTGACAATGGCAATTAATCCTTACTAGTTTTCGAAGTTTTGCGACTTCTTTCAATCAATAGTCCATCCATCATTATCCATGACATTGAGGTTAATAATAACATTGGAATTGAATGGTTCTAAAGTGGTGTTATTGAAAGTTTCGTAGATAGAGACTTGCAGCTTGCAAAAATCACATGCAATGCAATGAAAGCATACTTACCCAATTGAGTATAACTCAGAAGTTACCTCAGTTTATAAATGATTCCACTGTCTCCTTTTCTTGTAATATTGCTATCCAATTTTCCCCAGAACTTCTTCTTCTCCGTGCTACTGCTATGTATAATAGAATTCCAATGTTCCCTCTAAAAACAAAAACAAGAAAGGTAACATAAAACGTGTTAATCTTGGGGACCATGATTGTACTACAAAACACTATCCCTCTTTACTTGCTAACTTTTTTCCTCTCCCAAATAATTAGAACTTAGTCTTCACATAAGACAAATGTATGGCAGGAATTTGGCCAGAGTCCCCAAGTTTTAGTGATGTCAACATGCCTCCGGTGCCAGCTGGATGGAAGGGACATTGCCAATCAGGGGAAGCATTCAACTCTTCGACTTGCAACAGGTCAAAAACATTATGATTCTACTTCAATTACAATTTTTTCAATTTCTGTTGATTGGACCAATATCAGCTAAAGTTATCCTTCTCTAGGAAAGTGATTGGTGCAAGATATTATCTCAATGGCTATGCAGCTGAGGAAGAATTGGGGAATACTGCATCATTCAAATCTCCAAGGGACAGCTCTGGTCATGGCAGTCACACTGCTTCAACTGCTGCTGGTCGTTATGTGAATAATATGAATTATAAGGGGTTGGCATCTGGCGGAGCTAGAGGAGGGGCACCAATGGCTAGGATTGCAGTATATAAGACTTGCTGGAGCTCTGGTTGCTATGATGCTGACTTGTTGGCCGCATTTGATGATGCCATTAGAGATGGAGTGCATATCGTGTCTCTGTCTTTGGGTCCCGATGCTCCCCAGGGAGATTATTTCAGTGATGCCATTTCCGTGGGATCATTCCATGCTGTTAGCCGTGGAATAGTGGTTGTTGCTTCAGTTGGAAATGAAGGAAGTCCAGGGACTGCAACAAATCTTGCTCCTTGGATGATCACTGTTGCTGCTAGTTCAACTGATAGGGAGTTCATGTCGGAGATTATACTTGGAAACAGAGCTCACTTTTCGGTAATCAGTTCATGTCTGCATTTATAATAAAGTAAATTGTTGATCCTTACTCAGGTTCCTATTATTGGACAGGGTGAAAGTCTGAGTCTACTTAAGGTGAACACCTCGACAAAGATCATCTCTGCTTCTGAAGCTTATGGTGGGTACTTCACTCCTTATCAATCCAGGTGAAGCAGAAGGTAGTTAACTTGTGTATAATCTGAATATATGTATTCTACACTGAAATCTTATGTCACTTTCCTATCTCATGTTTGTCCCTTTAGTTACTGCTTGGATAGTTCTTTGAATAGCACAAAGGTGAGAGGTAATGTTCTAGTATGCCTACATGCTGAGAGCTCAGCAGAGTCGAAGCTGGCAAAAAGTGTGGTAGTAAAAGAAGCTGGAGGAGTTGGGATGGTTCTTATAGACGAGACAGATAGAGATGTCGCCGTTCCTTTTATAATCCCAGCAGCAATTGTTGGCAGAAAAATAGGACATAGGATCCTGACTTACATAAATAATACAAGGTTTGTCACCTCAGTTGTTGCCAAGAATTTTTCTTTGCATTTGCTTAGATTCTATTCTCTCCTTTGTCACTGACTCTTTCACATGGACAGCAATCCTAAGTCAAGGATTTTATCTGCCAGGACTGTATTAGGATTCCAGGCTGCTCCTCGAGTTACCTCATTTTCTTCCAAAGGTCCCAATATCTTAACCCCAGAAATTCTCAAGGTAATTTAGTATAAAAAATGAGGTTCTCTCTTTATTACATATTACACTTTCTATATATTTCTTGAACTTCTCTGTAACGTTTCCTTTCTGCTTTGTCTGCTCCTTAGTGAACCTGAAACTGTAATCTTAATATCTGCAGGTCATAGATTTACTGGAATTTCATTTGTATTTTTCTTGTTGAACTTTTTTCCACTGCCAAGTTTTATCTTCTCAAACCAATTAAGATTCCTGAAGTGCATTATTCTTGCTGTTTGAGTATGTTTGTAGCCAGACGTCACAGCACCTGGATTGAATATCCTGGCAGCGTGGTCTCCGGTAACTAATAAAATGAATTTCAACATACTCTCTGGAACTTCCGTGGCTTGTCCACACGTAACAGGAATTGTAGCCTTGATAAAAGCCGTGCATCCATCTTGGTCTCCATCTGCAATTAAATCAGCCATTATGACTACTGGTAAACTAACAATTTTAAAATCAACATAACTTCTCTCATGTATATTTACATCATAGCTAAATGTGAAGTTTGATGCAGCTACCGTATTAGACAAGCATCGGAAACCTATTACAGCAGGCCCAGATGGACGAAGAGCGAATGCTTTTGATTTAGGTTCTGGCTTTCTGAACCCCAGGAAAGTTCTTGATCCTGGTCTCATATATGATGCAGCACCCACAGATTATAAAGCCTTTCTTTGTTCAATTGGTTATGATGAGAACTCAGTGCATTTGATCACCGGAGACAACAGCACTTGTTATCAATCTTTTGCAACGGCATCCGACCTTAATTATCCATCCATCACAGTACCTAATCTGAGGAAGTCTTTTTCAATCACTCGTACAGTGACAAATGTCGGGAGGCCAAGGAGCATCTACAAATCAGTCGTGTTTCCTCCAACAGGGATCAATGTCACTGTAATACCCAGACGACTGATCTTTAATAGGTATGGGCAGAAGATTAACTTCACCATAAATTTCAAGGTGGCTGCCCCATCACAAAATTATGTTTTCGGATCCTTGTCATGGAGAAGTAACAAGTCTTGGGTAACCACCCCACTGGTTGTACGGGTTGCCAGGTCCAGGTCCGGGTTAATGATATAAGCAGTTATAAAATGGGGATAGAGATAAAACACAAGAACGAATGTGCAAATTTCATGTCCCCGTATAGATTGATAGATAAACCTACATTAAAGTATTGAATACATATTTTTCAACCATTCCTTTACTTTATTCATTGGTTGGTGTTGGGAGTTTTCTTCATGCCAACACGATATAAATTCCTACAAATTTGAAATAACAGAAAACTCGACGAATAACTGCCATCTAGATGGTATGTTCATTGTCCAATGGGTTAGAAGAGCTCAACATTCAATGGATCTTACGGCAACCGCACAGACGTATATAGTTGCAATTTCAAACGGACTTTAGATAATCTGAAATAAGGATGACTATAAATAGTTGAATGGTAAACTGAAATAACATTGCCGAAAAAAGCTTTGAAAAAATCTATAGCAAAGAAACACACTGCATAACTTAGATTATCAACATAAAACTCCCATATTTTCATGCTTACAGCTGTTTACAGTAGGAAACTCATATAGCTTGCTTGATCAGACATTGCATAGTACTAAAGAGAAAGATAAATAAGTTAAAGATCTTGTACTTTATACTTCCAGTCTGGTCGAGTAATGCTTAGCACACTTGCTTATATAGAATATTATAATAAGTCATGGCTATCTTTGGCCCTGAGGCTGAATATCTGAAGGATCAATTAGGCCTTCCAAGACAACAAGCTCATCTAGCAAAGATAGCTTCTCCTTTTCAAGGGCCATAATATCATCTTCAACCTCTTTCAACTCTGATCCCAATCCAAAGCTTTCCTCTTCCAGTAGCAAATATTTGCGCCTCAATGCCCGATATTCATTTCCAGAATTAGAAGAGTCTGGCAACGAATCTGAGGCAGAACGCTCTTGTTGTTGGAACAATGGGGAAACATTATTCATCAGTACTTTTCTGGAGGCCTTCTGCCCTTTCTGGCTAGAAGGGGGTCGTGCGTCTTGAAATCTTTTCCTATTATCCCCAGGTGCATTAAGCATTTCAGTCTCTTTTGTTGAAGGTTTCTTTTTTCTTGGCTTACTAACCAAGGCATCATTTGTTGGCAGCATTTTCTGATCTTCCATTTCTCAATCAATTCGTGGATGGCACTCTACTGACAGAATACCAAAGAAGAACAAAAATATAAACATGTGAATAGATATGATATACCCAATAAGATACAAAAAAAGTAAGAAGAAGATCCTGCTTGACATAGCAACAGATTTTCTGAAACAAGCACCTACACTGATACATACTAAATATATATATATATTTTTTTTTGTATAAATAATCAGAAAATTATATTAATAAAAAAATACACAGAAAGTGTATCATCAGTTTAAACAAGAAAGAAAAGATATGAAGTAAGAAAGCCCCTCTATAGGATTGCTAGTCGCTGCAAAAAACAAAGTATATAAAGTCAGATAAAATAATACTAAAAA